TGTAGGCATGCTTCGCAGTTCTTAGCAGTTCGACCAATGTCTTCATCTAGACCGGGCCACCAACACATCTGTCTTGCCAACGACTTCATCTTGTCCACCCCTAATTGGGAATAATTCCCGAGTTATTTTTCCACTGTCTTCCAAGATTCTAGCCATTCAGGACCTCCCCCGCCCAACTTCTGTCAAGCGACTGAAATCTTCTTTTGTGTTTGATTAATCACTAACATCGTTTTATCTCAAATATTTCCGCTATTCTTCATTCTATTACTCTTTTTCACTCTCACGGTAACGCAAAAGACGTTGTCTATACTCCTGAGGCGCTTAAAGCGGATGAATGGTTGGATGATTGGAAACATGACAAGCAGTGAGTAAAATAACAAGAGGCGGCATGCAGATCGTTGGACGGAAACCCGCACAAGAGCGGATAGGGTAAAGCAGAACAGAGTGAAACTGTCATGGAATATATATGCACTTCACGTTGTGAAACAGATGAGTTCTGAAGGGTCTTGTTCGATGGTCTCAGGGGCTCCGATCAGCAGTGGATTGATTTGGGTTATTTACGTTATTTAGGCGTTGGTCGCTTTAATGTGGGACTGACTAGACGCTAGGTACCCAACCTTAAAACACCTTGTAGGTGAGGCCGGGGGTGCGTTCCTCTACCTGGTCCGGAATGCGGACGCATGTAGTCACAGCGGTGGATACAGCCGCGCCCAACAACCATTGCCCGTGCCAAATTGTCCATTTTGGGTGTAGACCCCAAGCCTTCGTCAGGCCCAAACCAACCGAATCTGAAATAGAAAGGCGTACATCGGCGGTCTGGGTTGAAGCCCAGCTGAGGAGGGATAAAGGAAGGAAATAGCAGGAATCAAACGACAAATGTAAATCAAGCAGGGTGCTTAGGTCATAAAACTGGAGGAAGGATGTTGTCGGAATGTCTAGATCTACAGAAAAAATGGAGGGGGATACCCGTAATGATAGAACATCGGTTGATACAGTAAATACACCTAAATGGTTAGCATGTGCCACGGAGGGGAGCCAATGGAGTCGGAGGAGAACCGGAGCGGATGAGTAAGAGGTAAGGAATATTGGGTCACAAAACTTATAAAAGTATGGACCAAATTAGGTTGTGTTCCACAGATCCTGCTTCGAAGCTGGATCCGTGTACTGATATGAAATTGGTTGAGAAAGTGGACACTGCTAACTGGTTAGTATGTGCCATGGAGTTGAGCCAGTGGAGTCGGATGAAAACGGAATCAGAGATATATATGTAAAGTAAGGAAAGATGGGTCACAATACTTATAAAAGTATGCACCAAATTAGGTTGTGTTTCACGGATCCAGCTGTTACGGCCGCCCGCTTGAACTGTCTTATACGCTTACCGTTCAATCGAACGCTTCGTAATCCCGCAAATTGTGCGTTTCTCTACCACAATCCCAACGATTGCCTGAAACGTCCAACAATATAAGAACACAGGGGACACCGATCAATAGCAGAATCACGTGTGATACGGTAACTGAAGTATACAATGATACAATAAATTTCATATACATACTTGACCGTGATCCTCAATAGGCGGACCGTACGACGGTAAACGAACTAGTGTTATTACTCAACCGAGCGGTATCAAACGAACATCGAAACTGTTGTGTTTTATAATAATGGTACAGATAAACAAAGATCAGATTAAAGAGAGAATACCACTCACAAGAATCTATCCATCGTCAAAATGTTGTTTTCATCATCCTTTATGGTGTTTCAGCCGCCGTAACACTCCCCCCGGAAAGCCATTTGGCTCTATCATAACTAAACATCTGTAATAAACTGTAACTAATTGCAAACAATTTAAATTCACATTTGACATAAACACACATGACGAACAAATAACTGTAAAGAGTAAAAACAATGTAATGGATAAGAGTTAACTCTTGTCAAACCATGATTCGTACCCGACCAGCGCTTCTTCGTTGTAAATACTAGTGGCATAACTGTTGAACATAAATTCACAAAAATGTCCTTCTATGCAACAGTCGAAAACACAACTGTATCCATACAGTTTGACAAAAGTCAAATCTAACGTAGAATCAGTCGTCCATATACGTCATACATTGATCATTCAACAATCAATCATATACAATCAACTCCGGGAAACATGTGGTTACAGTGATCCACACCGTTGGTATACGAACTGGGTCGCACCGAAATAAAAACAATGCCTCAACTGGCAAACAGCGCCTTAACCGGCAGACAATGCAACCCATTCAGAACTATATTACTCGGTCAAGACAGGCACATTAACAACCACATTCATGAACACCATTAGATATCTGAAACTATCAGTGACTGTGGTGACATCCTCGTCTCTCTGTAACAATGGGAGAGCACATCTGTCACTGGTCTGCGATCATTGCCATGAACGGGTATTAGATGTTAGATAAAAACCCAACTTGTCATCAAACAAGCCCCCGGTACCCAACGCAAGGAACGCACAAGCGCCAGGCCACAGACGGTAAAGACGACATAGATATTGATCATTACCAGACTAACACAGAGTGCCAAGCTCTCCACCGCAGGCTCCGGAGTGTCACTCGTCAAAGACAGTCAAAGAATGTAGTTTATTCAATATGGTTCCGTTCAGTGCACACTGACCGACTGAAACGAGTTGCCAAAGGGAGCCGTTTTAAACGTAAAGCAACCTTTCATAACCTACAGCAACTCCAGACTAAGTACCAACGGTACGACCTCACCAGCACCAGCTGACAAACAACCTTCATTTTTTGTTTTGAATCAGGCTGATTCTCCGTCATCATCCACAACATTTCTGCAGATGTCTTGTTTAGTACTTGAAACTTTCACTAAACGGGCCATGAACAGACAACAAGGAACTGACTGTCAAGACGACATCGGTTAAACTTATCAACGAACTGATACTGGTCTTAAAGGCGCATGGTCGTATAAGCGAAGGCAGGTTGCATGAGTGACTCTTGCCAAGAAATAAGTAATCAACAAACATTAAATACTCCTAACAACAAATGCTTACAGAATGATCACCAAAAAACGACCACGGCACAAATAAAAATGAATCCTTTATTCAACCGTCACCACCCTCTAACCAACATAACTTGCGTACATCACGTCGCAGAGTCCCGTGGGATGTGCGAACCAACACTTCCCTTATTAGTCTATCTTCACTAGGAAGAACCTCACTAAAAACTCCCAACGGCCAGCAATTTCTATGGACACTCTCAGTGGTCACAAGCACTAGGTCTCCCACCTTCAACTCCCTACCCTCTTCTTGCCATTTGTGCCTTTCCTGTAAAGAGGCCAAATATTCAGACTTCCATCGTTTCCAAAAGGTATCAACCAAAACTTGGACTCTCCTCCAAAGGCGAATGCATGACTGAGGAAATTCCAGATGGTCTATCCCCGTTTTATTATCTCTAAGTAATAACAGCTTATTTGGAGTGAGTACCTCCAAATCCCTAACATCATCGGATATCGGAGTTAAGGACGATTGTTTACAACTTTTTCTACCTCAGCAAAAAATGTGAGTAGCGTTTCATCTGTCATTCGTTGGTTGTGAAATATCGCTCGAAATACCTTTCTGAAAGTTCTAATCATTCTTTCTCAAACACCTCCCCAGTGACTGGCGTCAGGTGGTCCAAAATGCCAACGTATTTCGCGATCAGCTAGGAAGTGTTGAATCTTGGCTTGAGACACACCTTGAATACACTGTCGTAACTCGGCATACGCGCCTCTGAAATTACTTCCGTTTTCACTAAAGATGACTTCAGGCTGCCCTCGCCTCGCCATGAATCGTATTAAAGCTTGGATGAACGAATCGGTCGACAGGGAATGAGTGACTTCTATGTGTACGGCTCTTATATTGAGACAGGTGAACAAACACCCATATCGTCTTTCAACCGTTCTTCCACGCTTTACGAGAAAAAGGCCAAAATAGTCAACATCAACCTGAGCGAAAGCGTGTCCTTTTATACAGGCACGTTCTTTGGGTAGCGGAGCCATCAACTAAAATCCAGGACGCACGGACTCACGCCGACATCGCAGGCATTTACCTATCACCCGACGCGCTGCAACCCTACCGTGTACTATCCAGTAATATCTGCGAATGGTAGATAGAACCTCATTACTACTTGCATGCCCTTCCATCTCATGATAATGACGAATTACAAGCTCAGTTACGTGGTACCTCGAAGAAAGAACAATGGGATGCTTACTATCTTCAGATAGACTGCTCCAATTTAGACGGCCGCCCACACGGACTAAACCATCAATTAGGACTGGTTTTAACTTGTAAAGTTGTCCGCGTTTGCTCCTGTCAGAAGGCAAACTCTGTCCGCTACTTAGTCGCTCTAATTNACTCAGCTTGAACCATTATCACTACCCCTTTGCAGCTGTCT